TGTGAAACAATTGTTCCATGTGTCTTGTGTACTGTGCAACAATTATTCCATGTGTCTTGTGTACAGTAAAACAATTATTCAATGTGTCTTGTGTACTGTGAAACAATTGTTCCATGTGTCTTGTGTACTGTGAAACAATTATTCCATGTGTCTTGTGTACAATAAACAATTATTCCATGTGTCTTGTGTACAATAAACAATTATTCCATGTGTCTTGTGTACAGTGAAACAATTGTTCCATGTGTCTTGTGTACTGTGCAACAATTATTCCATGTGTCTCGTGTACAGTAAAACAATTATTCAATGTGTCTTGTGTACCGTGAAACAATTGTTCCATGTGTCTTGTGTACAGTAAAACAATCATTACATGTGTCTTGTGTACTGTGAAACAATTATTCCATGTGTCTTGTGTAAACTTAAACAATCATTACATGTGTCTTGTGTACTGTGAAACAATTATTCCACATGTCTTGTGTACAGTAAAACTATTATTCCACATGTCTTGTTTACAATAAACAATTATTCCATGCGTCTTGTGTACAATAAACAGTTATTCCATGTGTCTTGTGTCCAGTAAAACAATTATTCCATGCGTCTTGTGTACAATAAACACTTATTCCATGTGTCTTGTGTACAATGTAACAACTATTATTTCATGTGTCTTGTGTTCAGTGAAGCAATTATTCCACATGTCTTGTGTACAGTGAATCAATTATTCCATTTGTCTTGTGGACTGTGAAACAATTGTTCCCTATGTCTTGTGTGTAGTGAAACAATTATTCCATCTGTCTTGTGTACTGTGAAATAATTATTCCATGTGTCTTGGGTACAGTAAAACAATTATTACATGTGTCTTGTGTACAATGTATCAATTATTATTTCATGTGTCTTGTGTACAGGGAAACAATTATTCCATTTGTCTGGTGTACTGTGAAACAATTGTTACCTATGTCTTGTGTACAGTATAACAATTATTCCATTTGTCTGGTGTACTGTGAAACAATTGGTCCCTCTGTCTTGTGGACAGTGAAACCATTATTCCATTTGTCTTGTTTACTGTGAAACAATTGTCCCCTATGTCTTGTGTACAGGGAAACAATTATTCCACATGTCTTGTGTACTATGAAATAGTTGTTCCACATGTCTTGTGTACTTGTGTACTGTGAAACAAGGAGTCCATGGGGCTTGTGTACAATAAACAATTACTCCATGTGTCTTGTGTACTGTGCAACAATTATTCCATGTGTCTCGTGTACAGTAAAACAAATACTCCATGTGCCTTGTGTACAGTGAAACAATTTTTCCATTTGTCTTGTGTACAGTGAAATAAGTGTTCTGTGAAACAATTATTCCATGCGTCTTGTGTACAATAAACACTTATTCCATGTGTCTTGTGTATTATTCAATGTGTCTTGTGTAAAGTAAAACAATTATTCCATGCGTCTTGTGTACAATAAACAGTTATTCCATGTGTCTTGTGTGCAATAATCAATTATTCCATGTGTCTTATGTACAGTAAAACAATTATTTAATGTGTCTTGTGTACAGTGAACCAATTATTCCATGTCTCTTGTGTACAGTGAAACATTTATTCCATTTGTCTTGTGTCCTGTGAAACAATTGTTCCCTATGTCTTGTGTACAATGAAACAATTATTCCATTTGTTTTGTGTACTGTGAAACAATCGTTCCATGTGTCTTGTGTACATGTGTCTTGTGTACTGCGAAACAATTATTCCATGTGGCTTGTGTACAGTAAAACAAATACTCCATGTGCCTTGTGTACAGTGAAACAATTGTTCCCCATGTCTTGTGTACAGTGAAACATTTATTCCATTTGTCTTGTGTCCTGTGAAAAAATTATTCCATGTGTCTTGTGTACCGTGAAACAATTGTTCCATGTGGCTTGTGTACAGTGAAACAATTTTTCCATTTGTCTTGTGTACCGTGAAACAATTGTTCCATGTTTCTTATAGACTGAAAAACTATTGTTTCAAATGTCTTGTGTACTGTGAAACAAGGAGTCCATGGGGCTTGTGTACAATAAACAATTACTCCATGTGTCTTGTGTAAAGTAAAACAATTATTTCATGTGTCTTGTGCACAGTGAAACAATTATTCCCTTTGTCTTGTGTACTGTGAAACAAATACTCCATGTGTCTTGTGTACTGTGCAACAATTATTCCATGTGTCTCGTGTACAGTAAAACAAATTCTCCATGTGTCTTGTGTACACTTAAACAATCATTACATGTGTCTTGTGTCCTGTGAAACAATTGTTCCCTATTTCTTGTGTACAGTGAAACATTTATTCCATTTGTCTTGTGTCCTGTGAAACAATTGTTCCATATCTCTTGTGTACAGTGAAACAATTCTTCCATGTGTCTTGTGTACATGTGTCTTGTGTACTTTGAAACAATTGTTCCCTATGTCTTTTGTATAGTGAAACAATTATTCCATGCGTCTTGTGTACAATAAACAATCATTACATGTTTCTTGTGTACTGTGAAACACCCCCTCCATGTGTCTTGTGTACAGTAAAACTATTATTCCACATGTCTTGTGTACAGTGAATCAATTATTCCATTTGTCTTGTGGACTGTGAAACAATTGTTCCCTATGTCTTGTGTACAATGAAACAATTATTCCATTTGTTTTGTGTACTGTGAAACAATCATTACATGTGTCTGGTGTACTGTGAAACAATTGGTCCCTCTGTCTTGTGGACAGTGAAACCATTATTCCATTTGTCTTGTTTACTGTGAAACAATTGTTCTCTATGTCTTGTGTTCATTGAAACAATTATTCCATTTGTCCTGTGTACTGTGAAACAATTGTTCCATGTGGCTTGTGTACAGTAAAACAATTATTCCATGTGTCTCGTGTACAGTAAAACAAATACTCCATGTGTCTTGTGTACAGTAAAACAATTATTCCATGTGTCTTGTGTACAGTAAAACAATTATTTCATGTGTCTTGTGTACAGTGAAACAATTATTCCATGTGTCTTGTGTACAGTAAAACAATTATTCCACATGTCTTGTGTACAATAAACAATTATTTCATGTGTCTTGTGTACAGTAAAACAAATACTCCATGTGTCTTGTGTACTGTGTAACAATTATTATTTCATGTGTCTTGTGTACAGTGAAACAATTGTTCCACATGTCTTGTGTACAGTGAAATAAGTGTTCCACATGTCTTGTGTACTATGAAATAGTTGTTCCACATGTCTTGTGTACAGTCAAACAATTGTTTCACATGTCTTGTGTACAGTAAAACAATTATTCCATGTGTCTTGTGTACAGTGAAACAATTGTTCCATGTGTCTTGAGTTTATTGTGTATGTTCTTAATTTGATCTGTCAAGAAAGATATTTCTTTTTTTTAGTAGCATTAAAACCTAGCTATGCTGAATATTTCTGTTCTTTGTAGGTATGGCACCTAATGTATCATGTCACAAATAAAGAACTTTCTTCAAATTTTTAACCAAACAAAAACTATAACATTAAATTATGACTTTTTAGTCTATATGTAAATTGAATAGGTACACTGCCACCTCAAGCACTGATCTGACTAAATCTGATCAGGATGGATTTTGACACATCTGATTAAGAAAAATTTGAACAGACTTTTTTATGTATGCATCATTCCAGGGTTAAGAGCAGGAAAAATGACAAAACCAGGAAGACAAATTCTTACCAATACAAATCTACTGTATTTCAACCTTAATGTTTCTCTTGGAAATCCATGATTTAATTTGCCAGCAAAGAAGGATAGATACGCTAATGCTAACATGGTTTAGATAACACTGTCCAGCCTTGACGACTAGCCAAACTTATCTTAGTCTTCTCAAAGTATAATGACAAATGCTGTATAAATTGTGTTATGTCTGAATGTTTTGGGTTGGCTGGGATTTATTAAGTGACATTTTGCTGAGGTTGACCTTGGCATGGCAGGGCCCCGGGGTGGTTGGGTATCAGGAGGCAGTTTGAGCCATGTGGATTACGTATCAGATACAATATAACACAATTTTCACATTGGAATTAAGATATAAATAAAAATAAAAATGTTGGCTTAGGATAGACATGTAAGCTCACAATTGGATATCTTTGATTGCAAAAAATGCAAAAGACTGGTATTTTGGCTGTTTTTATTTTTTTATTTTAGCACCTTAAAAATATAAGCAATAGTGAATATCTTTTGGAGCATAAGATTGTGAGGAAAAATTTGAAAACTGTTTGACAGAGGGAGGAATGTGCCTCAGGCACATTTGTCTCTCATTATCTACTCCCTTATTCAATTACCCTGACATCAAAAATCAAAGTAAGTGTCATGTTTGTTTGCCCATGTCTTCAGTTTTATTATCCCTTCACAAGCAAAATTTCTTCAGGTAAATCGGACCTGAACAAATCCTAACTAGTGAAACTGACCTGAAATTCGGGTCAGATTGAGATACCATTCATATGAAGATTTTTCAGGTCAATTTCATGTCAATTTCAGATCAAATTCGCCTGAAAAATCTTCATGTGAGTTCAGGTCAAATTTTGTTAATTTCATGTCAAATTGACTGGAAAAGTTTACCTGAATTGACATGAAGAAGTTTTGACAAATTCTGTTTAATAAATATTCATTTCTGATAAATTCTGAAATTTGATGATAATCTTGAGTATATATCATTGTCAAACATTTTTTTTATTATGGTGTTGTTTCTATTTTCATTCTTTTATGTTTACAAGTAATTGAAATTCATTTGAGATTATTGTTGATGATGCATCAATGATTTAAATCAACGAAATGAAATTACTGAAGATAAGAGACTATGAAACAGATAATTCATCTACCTGCTTATACTCCTAAAACTTGGATCGTGCTCCAAGACAAGCTCTGGAGCCTCCTTTAAGCATTGCCTGACAAGGGTGCAGACTATACAAGTATTAGCCTATGTGTGTGAGATAGTAGATATGATGATATACTGACTGGAAGCAGACAGTTGTACTGACCTGTACGAGTACGTTCTGGTGATGTTTCCCGTGGAGAGTTCATGGGTGCTCTAATATTCTGTGTAGGAGACAGTGTGCTCGTCCGTGAGATCATCAGGTCGGCCTGAGTGCCCTCGGCTGTGGGGGGAGGGGCTGATGGCTCCCTGAAGAAGGTCTTAGTAGGGGATAAAGCAGCAGCCGGTGTGGTGGCTGGGGCCTGTGGCACTTTGGTACTGACGGCCGGCGAAACGGCATGCAGAGGTACAGATGTCCTAGTAGCAGACCGTGTTGGGGACTATGAAAACAACAAAACTGGTATTAGTATATCTATACATGGGATGACATTTACAATAAAATTACACTTTGAAAATAATTTTCTTAACTCAATGAAAACCTAGGAAATGAAAATGAAGCATACATCATCAGAAAAAAGAGGAATAAAAAAAAAACCACTTAATAAAGAATCATAGTATAACAACTTTATTAGTAATATTTTTCATTCAGAATATTTGAAATTTATTTCATTTTAAAATTGTTCTTTGTTCATTCACAAGCGCTAATAACAGCTTGCATGGTGATGAGTGTACCAAAAACGTGATCATGCAAAAATAATTTACACGAGTATTTGCATATTTAAGCTTTATTGCCTGGAAATATCTATACATGCTTTTGTGAAGTAGAGTAGACATGAAATGTCTTATATTTGTCTATATTTTAAGTGCCCATGGCTAATCTTTTGCAAAAATAAATTACTTTTCAGGAACAAGTTTTTTACAGTAATATTTGCATGATTTAACGATACAGTTTAGATGTCCAATTCATAAAGTAACAGTCACTTAAGTCGCAACATACGCCGTAAAACCTTTTGGTAGACTTCAAAATAACTTAATCAAAAATTGATTTTTTCATACTCAATATTTATCATATGCAGCAGGCTATCTTTCTACATTACATCAATATGGTGCATGGTAACACACCCGGAAATGCAATTTTATGCCCAAAAAACTGAGCAACATTTTGTAGTCACACCTGTCGGATTCCCACGTTGTTTACAGACCCTGTACGGCTTATAATACTGGTGAAATGTGGAGACTGCCACAAGGAAATGTGTAAATATGGCCGAGCAGGATGCTGGTCCTGCCAAGTTTGACAATCAGGCATGACTGAAACCTCTTAACCGTCGCCAATAAACAATCGTTAACAGGCACATACTGACACTGTTGGGCAATCAGATGGCGTCATTGTCTTGTTTTATTTTGATGTTCTTGTTTCGTTCTCAATAACAAATTGCACATGATCAGATCTTTAGGGAAAGAGAAACAGTTTACATGCCACTTACTATCAGTAAATGACAAAACCCTATTGAAATTTAAATTTGAATATTTTTATTTTTTTTAAATTTATGATATTGATCAGTATATTTTGTTTTGTTTCTCCTACACATAATACAGTATCAACACTTTTCTGTTTTGTGTAATAATAACTTCCAACCACAACGCCGTCAATTTTCATCAAAACGCCAATTTCTTGCTCCAGTGACTTAACACTGAAAACTGAGAGAGAACATTTAATTTTCGTGTATAACACAGCATCACTGTTACACATGTTGATTCAGTACTGATACAATCAATACCTTGTTTCAATAACGAAATGGGAGATAGATCATTTAGGATTGCTATGTAACTAACAGCACTGACGACCTACACTATTTACCATTGTAAGGTAAATAACAGAACACGGAAAAGATTATTTAGGATTGCTATGCAAATAAAACATGTCAACCCTGTTAGCCCTTGGTCTTTCCACAAAATTTTGTCACCTTTGTGCAAATCATTTGAAAATGAACTTTTCTATATATTTTCCCAATCAATTAATCAAAACCAATAAAAAAAATAAAAAATGGATTAATTGATTTACCTGATAAACTCATGATCAGAGGGCTGAGTATTTATAATATTTAATTTAACGTAATTGTGTGCATATGTCTAATGTTAAATTGCTTTCAATTGTTTTAGGCCAGATGTAGGCCAAAAAATAACAAGAGGCCCATCACTCACCTGGATCTCTAAGCAATTATGGCAAAATATTCTCCAAATGAGATCCAAGGGAATATGTAGCATATCTGTATTAGATTTTTCATGCCCAGCAACTTTATATATATGGTTATGGGGTGGGGATCTCAACTGTTTCCAAGCTGTGACTCAGAAACTAGGTCCCTAGGGTTGTGGCCAGACCCCAGGATCAATTCTAATATCATGACTGCATTCGTCTCTTTATGCCCAACAATTGTTTATATAGTTTTGGGGTGGGGATCTCGACTGTTTCAAAGTTATGACCCAGGGGTTAAGTCTGCAAGGGTGGGGTAGACCCTGGGGTCAATTCTTATATCATGACTGCATTCGTCTCTTTATGCCCAACAATTGTTTATATAGTTTTGGGGTGGGGATCTCAACTGTTTCAAAGTTATGACCCAGGGGTTAAGTCTGCAAGGGTGGGGTAGACCCTGGGGTCAATTCTTATATCATGACTGCATTCGTCTCTTTATGCCCAACAATTGTTTATATAGTTTTGGGGTGGGGATCTCAACTGTTTCAAAGTTATGACCCAGGGGTTAAGTCTGCAAGGGTGGGGTAGACCCTGGGGTCAATTCTTATATCATGACTGCATTCGTCTCTTTATGCCCAACAATTGTTTATATAGTTTTGGGGTGGGGATCTCAACTGTTTCAAAGTTATGACCCAGGGGTTAAGTCTGCAAGGGTGGGGTAGACCCTGGGGTCAATTCTTATATCATGACTGCATTCGTCTCTTTATGCCCAACAATTGTATATATAGTTTTGGGGTGGGGATCTCAACTGTTTCAAAGTTATGACCCAGGGGTTAAGTCTGCAAGGGTGGGGTAGACCCTGGGGTCAATCTTTATATCATGACTGCATTCGTCTCTTTATGCCCAACAATTGTTTATATAGTTTAGGGGTGAGGATCTAAACCATTTTGAAGTTATGACCCAAGGATTAATTCTCCAAGGGTGGGGCAGACCCCAAGGCCATCCTGGAAGCATATGTGCATTCATCTCTTTATACTCAGCAATTGTATATATGGTTATAGGGTGGGGATCTCAACTGTTTCCAAGCTGTGACAAAGAAACTAGGTCTGTAGGGGTTCAGTCAGACCCCAGGGTCTATTCTAAGATAGCAGTGTACAGTAGCGTACAGTGGCCATGGGTGATATTTTTGTACAATGAAAAACCCCTGTTATATTACATGTATAAAAACTTAAAAACAAAATCAGCACTAAAATTGGCATATACATGATGAAGTGGACTATGTAGGCTTCACATTTAAAAAATAAATTGAATTTGGTTTGAGACTACATTTTTGGCCATTTACAAATCTGTGTCTACACAACAAAAGCTAGCTTTTCATGTAGTCTATTTTTGTACTCAGCACATGTGTAAATATTGTGAAAAATCCAGTTGAACGACCTATGCTAAAACGTAAGTATTTCTGTTACCGTGTAGGTGATACTCAATTTCAGACAGGTTTTAAGAAAAAAATTACCACTTCTGTGGGTCAAATTTTGTGTTAAAAATCACATTTTTTTAAAAAAAAAATTGATGTGGTAACCATGGTTTTCACAAGTCTCAAATCTGGGGAAATCACTTTTTGAAAAAAAAATCATTCTTCTAATAAAAATGTATTCCATGTGTATCTAAGACATGCCCTTTATTTTGAGGATCAAGCCATTTCTACGTACTGTACTTTCCTACCTAATATCATGACTGCGTTTGTCTCTTTATGCCCAGTTTTGGGGTGGGGATCTCAACCATTTTAAAGTTATGACTCAGGGACTATGTCTCCAAGGGTGGGGCTAGACCCTAGGGCCATCCTGGAAGCAAATGTGCATTCTTCTCTTTATACTCAGCAATTGTATATATGGTTATACTGTGGGAATCTCAACCATTTCCAAGTAATACACTTTTTTTGACCCCACTCCTTAGCCCAAACGGGTCAGCCCCACCATTTGTACAATTGTGAATCCCTGTCTTCCATGAATGTTTCCGACCAAATATGATTGATATCCATGGCATAGTTCTACAGAAGATGTCGTTTATAGCAATATAGCCCCCTTTTGGCCCCGCCTCTCAGCCCCCTGGCAGGTCAGCCCCACCATTTTTACAATTTTGAATCCCCACCACCTAGGGATGCTTCCAGTCAAATTTAGTTAAATTCCAATCAGTGGTTAAAAAGAAGAAGACGTTTAAAGCAATTGTTGGCGTACATCGGACGCTGCGGTATGGCATAAGCTCACCTTGGTCCTTCCGACCAGGTGAGCTAATAATCAAATGATTCACTTAATCCTAATAGAGCACTGCAGAGCTGTGGGTTGGGGGGTTGGGGG